ATTTATAAGAGAATATAATTCTGTCTAGATTGCACTTTTTATTTAGTTCAATCATCTCTATATCGACATTCTTCAATAAATTTACGATTAGGATCCTTATTTTCATTCAAAATATCAATTAAAATATTGTATGCAAAAATGTTATCAATAAATATTTTTTTCGATCCTATTTTCTTCATGTTTTGACATAATTTATCAAAATCTCTTGATTTTTCTCAAGCCTTTTGAGTTCTTCTAGAGGCCTATTATCATAAATATCTTGGACCATTTTATGAATATTTGCATCATTTATATTTTCATCTTGATTATTTGCCCCTTTTCTTTTAGGGATTTTTATCTTTAGAACCAATCGATCTTTCACGCTTCAAGTGTGCTTTAGATTCATATGCTATAAAATTAATAGATTGTCCTTCTAGGATATGAATTCTAATATGAGCATTCTTAGTAGGGATATGCATTTTAGTTACTCTTTTTGGATATGAGAATGTATCTGGTAGTTGGTCTATAACACTTTGTTAATAAATTACCTTCTAAACTTCTAGTTCACATTATTTTGTATGACGATCAAAATTATGTAAAGATGGAGTATTACATGTAATATCTTTTTCCAACTCGTTTATTTTGCTTATTCTCTCCTTCTAATGTTGAAAAAACTATTTCATCAAAATAACGAGTCAACAAATCGAGCTATAAAAATATTTTTTGTTCATAGTTCAAGATATTTAATTATAGAAGAATATTCAAATCCAAAATATATCTCCAATCTTTTTTAATGACCCATTTTAGTTCATTATGAAGGAGCGCTAGCGATATATATTACACGATAAAAAAATTTTAGATGAGAAATATTTAGCTTATGATCATTAACCAATTGAAGAGAAAAGAATTTTTGATAACTTATAGGTCTTATACAAATAAGTGTTGGTGCATATAAGATTACATGTCCCCAAACATAAACAAGAAGTTTTATTTTTATAATTAATGATTTAGCTATCAATTGAAATCTTTTGATAAATAATTCGGTAAACCTTTATGAGTATGAACATGAGCAACAAGTCGTTCAACCTTTATTTCAATAACTAATCAATAATCATTTAATGCTTGAGAGATAAATTCACCAACACTATCAAGGTAAATTATTTTAATGGCATAATTATGCTCGTAATTAAACTATTTGAGCTATCAATCTCAAAAATGTCAAGTTTTGAGTAAATAATAAATATGCATATGACCATCTTGTGTATTCATCGATTAAAATCATAAAATATCTAAATGGTTCACATGGTAGATGAATTTATCCATATATATCTCCTTGAATACATTCCAAAAATACTAAATACTCAATCTCAATTTTACTTTGTAATGGTCAAGAAAGCAACCAAAATCCTTCATAAAATAGCCCTAAAACCTCCTCTAAACCATGAACCAAAGCACCTCCTCCTCTCTTTCAAAAACCCCCCAAACTATTGTCCATTTTCCAGCAATCTTCCTTTAACTTTTATCACTTAAAACAACCCTTAAAAACCTTCCTCAAACCCTCCTTGAAAACCCCCTCAAACCCATTATGAAAATGCTTTCAAAGCTACTATAAATCCTTCCTAAAAGACTATCCAAATCTACCATGATAGCAACTCCTTCTACAAAGTGCTATTATCATTGTTGCAACCTCTATTCTATGCCAACACGACTAGCCACAACTTCTTTCTTTACAAGAAGTGTTCAACTATAGGTTAGCTCCCCACTAGAAGTGTTTTCCAACAATAAAACTCATCAAAATTCAGCTAAAAATAACCTTAAACCAAACTCATACTTCCACTATCGGTAGATTAATCTTCAAAGAAAGATCGAGAAATTTCATATTTTTATAGGTCTAGAAAAGAAAAGAGACTTGCTTGGGTATGAAGTAGATATATTAAGCTTTCTAGATTAAAAAAAACATAAAAATTCATTTGGGTTTAGAATGTCAAAGTTGGATGCAAAGTCGGGTCGAAATTCGGATCTTATGACGATCCGAAACAATGCCTAGTGTTTGGCTCATACATGGAGTTATACACATTATATTATGATGATTCAAAATAACTAAGAAAGAAGACTCGCTAAACTTACAACCATTATGAAGAGCTCAAAGCATTTTTTTTTTTTGAATAATTTATGATATGGCTGCGATCGTAAAGGACTCGCTATTTTATTTCAATGATTTGTGATATGGTTGTAGTCATCGGGAACTTGCCTTTTATGGTGATTTGAATGATTTATGATATGACTGCGAGTTACAAGAAACTCATTTTTATATATAATTTAAATGATTTATGATATGGCTATAGTTGTAAGAGGCTTGTCATTTATTATGATTTCCATTTGCTTTAACATTTTAATGATTTTTTATTTTATGTGAATCAAAGCCGTTATTGGCTTTTCACTTGTATGGATGAAATTACTAATAGCTTGTAAATATTTGCAATGACTTATTATTTGTGTAAACTAAAGTCTGTCGGTGACTTTTCACTTGTGTAGATGAATTCATCAATGACTTCCTAAATTCATGAATTGGAGTTCTTAGTAACTTTCTATTTGTATCGATAAAGTTACGGATGACTTTCTATTCATGTCAATATGGACTTCCAATCTCTAAAGACTCGCTTATTTATCGATACAAGTTTGCGATCACTAGGGGTTTGCTAAAATTTCAACTTCTATACCTATTTCCCCTTTAGAGTATATGTATATGTATTCGATTAGCTTAACCTAAATTACTAAATCAAATTATCTTGAATAAAATAAATTCACTTAAGTAGATATAAAATCATAACATAGTTAGATCGGACCTTAGTTTACACATACATACAATGCAACCTACCTCAAATAGGACGGAATAGTGGTGATATTAATGTTCTCCTTATGTAACCGATATTTTATCCAAATATTTAAGAAGACTAGTTTTGTTTAGGATTTTCTAGTTCCCTCCAATTGCTAGGTGGCGACTCCATCCGATTGCGAGGCCCTCGTCAACAATCAATATTAATACTATTAGTTTATTTGGACTAAAAAAGTTTCATGATCGAGATCATTCTAGAAGATTGTAAATTCTTCAACTCAAGATTTTTCTAGTTAATCTTTGTAAAGAATTGAAAGCCTTAATTGCTTTAAGTTGTTTGTTTCCTTATCTCACTTAGACATCGATAATTTTTCTAATTAGTTTTCTTTTTCTAGTTAAATAACTCCTACGTCAATTTTATTTTCTTGCTTGCATCACAAGTAAGTTTAGGTTTTAGAATAGTATTGAAAGGAGTCTAACTTATTTGTATTTTCTTGAGCATATTCCATGACACAAATTCAATACAAAGCTTTCTCAACTCTTTTGCAATTTACTCTTTGTAAGTTTATTGTTCTTAGCTCTATGATTTATTTTTATGCTTTCGTCATAACATTATTTACTATTTTCTTTACGACTTTATTTATCACTTTCTTTATATGTTTTTTTTTACAAGCTTTCAATTTCTTTAGTTGCTTTCTTTATTTTAATTTTACTAGCTCTACGCTTGATGTAAACTCTCCATAATTTATTTACATAACTCTTTATGATTTATTGTTTGATGTGAATTTTTTTTTTTTTTTTTTAAACTCTAAGGTTTACTAACCAATTGCTTAATGTAAACTCATATGTTTACTACTCCATGCGAACTTAATTGTTAAAACTAATTTGGATCTTCATAGTTTCATAGTTGATATAAATTTTATGGTTGTCCTTTTTTTTTTTTTAACTACCTAATTTATCGCCACTTACAACAAGTCGTTAATCTTTTTTTTTTTTTTTTTGGTTTACTCATCGGAGGCCCAATGGATCTATTGGGCTACACAATAGGAGTAGCCCTTCCTATTACATAATTATCAAAGAAATTGGAGTCGTCGGGACTCGAACCTTGCTTTACTAAGGAAGTTAGCTAGGTAAACGACGGCTAGGTTAAGCTTGCTTGTCTAATTTTAAGGTTGATCTCAATTTAACTCTTAGCCATTATGTTATGCTTTATTTTAACCATCATTGTTTTCACCTAATTAATTTATTAAGCTATACTTATTTGGACTTATTGTCTCCAAGTTTTCAAGAGAGTTTTATCTAGATTTGGTCCACATACTCTTTCAATTATATTGATTGAAGCTTCCTACTCTTCTCCATATTGATTGAGTCATTTTACTCTTCGTTTTGTATTGAATATGTCTCTATATTTACATGTTGTTAGTTTGTACTCCTACGTGCTACTTTCTTATTAGAGTACTTGAGTCGAATTCTTGATGATTCACAATCTAATAACTTTTTTAGTTTTTAAAATTTGTCAATTGAGGTGAAAAATAAATAATTAAAAGAAATTATATTAATTAAGAAAAAAAACCTAAATAAACGTAATTAATTAAAGTAAATTGATTTTCACGTATTGATTTTCTTATTTTTTTAATTATATAATTTCAGAAATGAAAGAGTTACTCTAACAGAAAGAGGCCATTACATTATGCTAAAAAGATCTTTATAAAATAAAATAAAAAGAAATTAGAAAGGCCGAATCACTAGGAAAAAAAAAGGTAAAAGACTCCAATTAAAAAAATTAGAAGAATATAAGGAGTAAAAAATATTGAATCCATTTCCACTGCCGTACTTGATCGCGAAATAATTGCGTCCCTTCACAAATTAACTTATAGGTATTAAAAAAACCTCTCGTGAATATTTATATTTATCACGCAAGAATATCAATTGAATTTGTCACCATCGACTTTAGCTAAAGTTTGTTTAGATAAAACAAAAACGATGATTCTTCCATACATATGTTTATTTTTACACGCAATCATCGTAGACCACATTACAGTACAAACTAATATTTTGCAAAAGAACAAACTAGAAGTGTGAAAAGCCAACCCTCACTCCGATTATTGGATCAACATCCAAATGATCATTATTAATTAAACAAAAATATCTTCAATCAAAAAAATATATATATATATCGTTTAGCTTACCATGCAGTCATTTTCTGGCGTTTCGAGCTTATCTCGCACTCTTTAGCCACTGTAGACAAAGCATTCATAGAACTACCACCCTGAACTAAGGCATTTTCAGCACCATATTTGAGTTCCTTGGCTCTAGTCCGTATCTCTGTTCCTTCTTTGTCCACCATAATTCTTCTAATCAACATCTCTATTTCTTCCCTTGCAACCACTCCTTTAGAAGGCAAGGTCTTTGATCGAACAGCGACGCCAAGCTCCTCAGTTAACATCGTAGCATTCATTCGTTGCTCTGCATACAATGGCCACACAATCATGGGCACTCCATTAGTGATGCTCTCTAAGATCGAATTCCATCCACAGTGTGATAAAAACCCTCCAACTGATGGATGCTTCAATATGTCCATTTGTGGTGCCCAATTTGGAATGACCAGGCCCATGTCATGAGTTCGTTTTAGAAAACCTTCCGGTAAATACCTTAGAGTGCCATTATCTTCTCCAGTTCCTGCATTGAAAAAAGATCCGTCTCCTGTTTTTAGGGTAGGCGGACGTACCACCCAAATGAAGTTCTGCTGGCTTAGCTCAAGGCCAAAAGCTAGCTCGGCCATTTGTTCTAAGGACAAAGTTCCACCACTTCCAAATGAGACATATATCACAGATTCACGAGGTTGCTTGTCTAACCAAATAAACAACTCGCTATTCGTACCAAGAGGTTTGGTTTGTCTTATTAATGGTCCGATAGGGTAAACCGGAACCTTAACAATCCGGCCCAAGAGCTCTTCATCTCTCAATGCTTCTAGTGCTGAGGGTTGCAGATCTTGCCAAGTATTCAACAAAATCCCATTGCACATCGGCATCTGAACCCCTATGCGTAAGTTCTCGAAATACTGTTGGTTGGTCCGGTCCAACATGGGGTCAACCAAATCTTCCGGTCGTATCGGTCTACACCCAGGAATTTTAAGTGGCTCTTTTTGATCAACATATTCTCCTTCCACAATCTTATCTAGCTGCGGCGTATATATTTGAAGTGCTAGGAACCATGCATTTGAAGGAACGTACACGTACTTAGGTATTTCTAATTCATCAGCAACCACCATAGCTTCAGTTCCAAATAGGTCAGCAATCATGGCTGCAGGACGAAATGATAAAATAGATATAGCAGACCTGAGGGCTGGTTTGATTTCACGCATGATAACACAAATCCTTGTAACAACAGTTGCATCAGGGCTGACAAGTTCGGAGATATCAACGGGTGGAAGCTCAATGATCTCTAAGATTTTCGGAGTCATGGCTGATTCAAGAACTTTAGATTCTGCAGTTGATTGATGGGATGCAACAACAAATATGGTTATTTCAAAGTTGAGGTGGGTGACCAGTCTTTTTCCAAGTTCAAGGACTGGTATTAAATGGCCCATTCCAGGGCTGGATAGCAATACTACATGGGGTTTCGAGTTCATGTTTTCCATGACAGAATATGAAAAGCCGGAGCTAGAGGTGGAGAAACATAGTGATAATAAAATTGTTGGTGGTGCCATTTATATTGGTCTGGATGTGTACCGAGAAAACCTTGCTTAATGTTAAAAAGAAACTAATTAACCATAAAAGATAATCGGACCACATGTAGCCAACAATATATAGGTCTCCTTTAAATTAATTTGGTAACCAATATCCCTTTTTTGTCTTGCTTTTTGCATTTAGACCCTCCAATTATTTGATTTTACTTCAAATGACATCCATTATTAATTTTTCATATATTTTTTTATGAATATTATTTTTAAATTTACACCAAGCATTCTTAACATCTTAATTTTAACATCTTTAATGGTATACTCGGATGAAATCTGTCATCCAACAAGATTCGTCAGCTTTCACCAAGAAAGACAAATACACAATTTTTTTTTATCTAACGATATGTTTGGAAAAAGCTTGCAGGATGGAACCACGTTCAGAATCTACATGAGCGGACACATTTGCATCACTAGGGAACGCTACATATGTGGAACCTGATCGATTACGGTCCAAAAAATCAAACCAACTTCCTCCAACCAAAAAGGACAAAAAATACATCTAATAAATACAATCCTAGAATGTTCTTGGTTCTACCCAGAATTTTGCAGAAAATCAGGGTGCTGGTTCGGATCTGTGGAAGCAGCCTGACGCGGAATGGATCTCTTGTGCTGTCGATGCTGCTGTGTTTCCGAATTCTGGTGCATGTGGAATGGTCCGCAGGGATGCTATGGGGCGATTTCTTGGGGCATATGTAATTAATTTCACACATATCCGTGACCCAGCTGTACTTGAAGTCCTTGCAATTAGGGAAGTATTAACATGGATCAAGGCTAGAAAGCTACAGAATATTCTAATTGAATCTGATTGCTTGAATGCAGTGCAAGCTATTAATGCATCTATGTTTATTAATTCAAATTATGGTTTGTTAGTGTTGGACTGCAGAGACATTTTGACAACTCTTTTGAATGTCCGAGTTGTGTTTATCCGGAGATCTGCGAACTTGGCTGCCCACACCCTTGTACGGACAATTGGTTCACATCCAGGTCACCATGTATGGGGTCTATCAGCCCGTAGTTGTATCTCAGCCATTTTGGCTAATGATCTCATACAATGATCTATCTTTCTACTGTAAAAAAAAATAAATAAATAAAATAAAATACAAGCACGCCCCTGAAGCTATTTTTATCTAACCTACACTAACAATGATGTCATCATACTATTCCAATAATGACGTATTAATATTAAAAACACTTATCCCCTAAATTAATAGTACAAGTTGTTGGCAGTAAAAGAATGAATCATTTTACTCTTTCTTTCATGCAACTTGATATATAAGTCTATTAGCTCTCTAAATAGCCAAGATACCTAATATTATTGGTTCTAAATCTCCTCTTACTACTACTGTTTATCTTCTTCCTTCACACTTATATCATAACATTTTCTAGCTAATCTCCCTCTTTTTGAACTAACTTGATATATAAGTCTATTAGCTCTCTAAATAGCCAAGATACCTATCGTTACTGGTTCTAAATCTCTTCTCTTAGTACTACTGTTCATCTTTTTCCTCACACTTATATCATAACCTTTTCTAGCTAATCTCCCTCTTTTTGCACTAACTTGATCATCAAAGGTCCTTTATCAAGCTAGAAGAACTTGTTTTGTATTTGCAGGTATTTCATGCAGCACAACCACCTTCCATCAAAAAGTATCACCACCAAGTCAAGTATCAAAGAGCCACATCATCTCTAAACGCTCAACAATCTCATTAGTAGCGTTATTGGAAGAAAAAATGAGCTAAAAATAGTTTTTAATTCATATCTCTTAATTTTCAAGCTCTTTCATGGCTAAAAATCAAGAAAATCTAGGTTTAGGAGTTGTGATAAATCTTGCTAGCATAGGTGGTCAACCAACAGACCTCCTCTACTTATAACAATAAGTAAAAAAGCTGATAGATTCCCTTTTGGTCATGCAAGAGTGGATAAGAATTATTTCCTCCCCAAAAAAATTGTTTGCTCCACTAGCACCACGGGTTAATCCTGCATGTGTGAATGTTTTTTTGCTAATAACTTCCCAGAATGTATATAGACAGCTCCCTTTTAAGGAGGAGATAAAAAGGAAAGATGGAGGAGACAACAAAAGAAGAGAACACCACCACTCCTCTCAACCCTGTAGGAGTCCAAATCCTCTTAATTGAGATAGACATAAAAGAATCCACAACACAAGGAGAAAATTTTTTCGAAGACTAGACAAAAAGCCCATGTCGAGTTTTGGGTCTTCAAGTAGGATTCAGTTTATGTTCTTTGTTTGAGTCAAATTCCACCAAGACTCCCAAGTCCCAAGGTATATCGATGACCTTATTTTTTGTCCAGTTGTTTATATATTCTTAATTTCAGTTACTTAGCAACCTTTAGATATTCACGTTTGCTTTTCTTTAAAGGAAAGTTTAGCCTTTACTACATTCTTCAAAAGACATGCTAGTTTATTTATTTATTTATTATTATTATCATCATTTTTTTTTCATGCCTACCATTGGAATCTAGAGTCTAGACAAATCTAGATTATTTAGATTTTTAATTTGACTCGATTTATAAACTTGGTCTTATAAGTTCATAAATTTTGAACGATGTAGTAAAATTTAGGTGTCTACAATAAGTTATATAAATAATTTACATTTCTAAAATATTAAATGGCAAGAAATCACACACATTTATTAAGATGATTAATATTATACATTATCCAATCAAGTAACGATTACAGTAAATGGAGACACGACTTTTGGTACAACAGATAGGCAGAGATAGAATTATAGTTTATCTGTTACTCTTAGTTGATAAGAGACATACATGTAATCTAATTGTACTTAAGGTTATCTAACCTAAATATATGTATATCTATGTATGACACTTTGATATATGTACAGAAGCACTACAGCTACAATACTTACGGGTTGTAAGCGTTTTACTCATATATATACTGTCTTGTTTTAATTTGGTATCAAAGCCACAACAAAACTGCTCCAATGGCCTCCAACAGTCCTACTTCTTCTTCCATAAACTAAACCTCTCTAAACATTTTTCCTAATTCACAAACTTCATCAAACCATGTTACGCATCTCTCTAATGCCCATCACTTTATTTCCATCAAATTAACTACCACCAATTTTCCTTTTTGGCACATATAAATGTGTCCCTTCCTGCTACGTCAGGGATTGTTTGGATTCATAGATGGCACAATAACAAATGCCCATCTTCTCACATCTTTTCTACTAACACTGGAATAGCACAAGAAAATCCTTTGTATGGTCCCTGGATTCAACAAGATCAACTATTGATGAGCACATTTATTGCGTCCCTGTCTACTGACATCTTACCACTAGTAAATGGCGACAACACCTCTCAAGAGGTATGGAATGTGCTTCGAAGTGCACTAACCTCTACTTCTAACACGCGAATAATGACTTTCTGCTTAGCTCTATTAATACTCAAACAGAAGAGCGCTAAATCTATAACATAGTATTGTCAGTGCCCCAAATACTACAGCGATGAACTCACTGTAGCTGGGAAACCACTATCAATAGTGGACTTCAATCTCTACATTAGCAACCGTCGTTAATTTCAATTTTTTTAAAAAAAAATTTTTACAGTCATTTTTGCAATGGTTTTTGTAAAAAAACAGTCAGCTAATTTTAATTTTTTTAAAAAAATTTCTGCAACCATTTTTTGCGATGGTTTTGTTAAAAAACCATTGCTAATCATGAAAATTAGAAACGGTTTTTTGCGATGGTTTTTTTTCAAAAAAATTGTCACTAATTTCAATTTTTTTAAAAAAATTTATTTCTTCCAACCTTTTTTGCGATGGTTTTTTTATAAAAAAACATCACAAAATTAGTAAATTAGTGACGGTTTTTAAGAGGGAAATGGCTATTTTTTGAACTTTTTCAGACATTTAGCGACGATTTTAGCGACGGTTTTTAGACCATCACTAAAACTTTCAACCCTTATATAACAATTTGCTCGAAAATTTATAAAACAAAGTTTCTTCTCTCTCTTTTTCTTCTTCTCCAGCGTCGATCTCCCTTCCATTTCCATTAAATCTTCCCCCTCTTCTTTTTATTTTCCTTCCAATCTCCTCCTCTCTCTCCTCTTTCCCTTTCTCCCCTCTATCTCTCCCCTTTTCTTCCTCCTTTTCTCGTTTCTTTCTTCCTTTCTCCCCCTTCCTCAACCGGCCATTTTCCAACCGGAATAATCCGATGAAGCCTCTCTACTGCGCGAGCCCACTCTCCTCTTTGTGTTGGTGAAAGGTCCTCCCTCATCTAACCCCTTACTTAATTTTTTAATTTTTTTCAATTATTTACTTAATTTAATTTTAATTTTTTTGTTTATTTTTTTGTTATTGTTAATTTTTAATTTAGTTAATTTATTATTAATTGTTAAGAAATTTTAATTGTTATTAAATTTTATTAATTGTGAGAGTTTAATTGTTAATTTTATTGTTAATAAAATTTAATTATTATTAATTTTTGTTGTTAATTTAATTGTTATTATTATTAGTTTAATTGTTAATTGTTATTGTTAATTTAGTTAGTTTATTGTTAAATATTATTTATTAATTCAGTTAGTTTAATTGATGGTATTTTGGAAAGTTAATTATTTTAGAAAATTGTTAATAAGTTATTAGAAATATTTAAAATTTTTGGTAATTACAAAAATAATTAGTCATTAAAAAATTAATAATATTTGAAATTATATTTAGTAATTAAAAAATCAATTAGTAATTAAGTTTATTTAGTTGTTGATTAAGTAAGGGAGTTAAGTAATTGAAAAATTAATTGATTTTGAAATTTAATTTAATAATTAAAAAATCAATTAGTAATTAAGTTTATTTAGTTGTTGATTAAGTAAAGGAGTTATGTAATTAAAAAATTAATTAATTTTGAAATTTTTTTTAGTAATTAATTTTATTTAGTTGTTGATTAAGTAAAGGAGTTAATTAATTACGAAATTAAGTAGTGATTAAAAAATTAATTTTTTTAAATTATATTTAGTATTAAAAAAATTAATTACTAATTAATTTTAATAATAATAAACTTTTTACTGTTTTCAAGAATTTAATAATTGAATAATATTTATTACATTTTAATAAATTTTATAATAAAATTTATGAAATTTTAAAATATTATGTTTTGGGTATTTTATAGACTTTTAAATAGCAATTTTTAATTTCAAATGAGGGTAAATAATAATAATAATAATTTTTTTTGCGACGGTCTAGACCGTTGCTAATTCCAAATATTAGCGATAGTCTAAAACCCTCGCTAAAACCGTCACAAAGCCGTGACGGTTTTTTTCGTCGCTAAAGTAGCGATGTTCCAAAAGCTGTCGCAAAATTTTAGCGACTAGAATTTTATCGAAGGATTTTTCTAAATTAGTGACGGTCTAGACCGTCGCTAATTCTAACTTTTTTGTAGTGTCCTAAATTTTTTAGACGTTTTACATGTTTTAAATATTTCTAAACTTTTGCTCTCTCTCGAAAAATTAGCCAAATATAACAATTAACTCGAGAATTTCACCCATTTACTTTTTATTTAAAGGAACGGGGTTAGCCGAAACAAATTCTTTTAGGGTTGAGTAAAGATGATCCGTATGTCCTTTACGAGTCAACAAGTTCATTCAAACTGAAAACTCTCTCTATTCAAGCATCTTCCCAAATATGGCACTCACGATTGGGACATCCTTATGATCGAGTTCTGTAAAATATGTTTTCAAATAATGTTTCACCGCATACTAATAGTCATTTTAATAATTAATTTATCTCTTGTCTTTTAGAAAAATCTCATATGTTGTCTTTAAATTCTACAAACCATTTTAGTAATTCTTTTTAAATTTTAATTTTAGTGATGTTTGGAATCCATCATCTACCCCTTTCTTTGATAATCACAAATATTATGTGATTTTTATCGATTATTATTTAAAATTTATCTGGTTTTATCCAATTTGCAAAAAAAAAAAAATTATGTTTTCAAAGTCTTCATTCAGTTTCAATCTTTAGTCAAAAGACAATTCAATTGAAAAAAAAAAAGTGTAAATGGACCGAGGAGGAGAGTTTCGACCTCTTAATAATTTTTTTCAAAAACTCTTCAATTAGTGGTGATGCAATTTATACAAGGAGAGTGAGGACTGGGGAGAAGCAGCTACAAACACAACCTTCGCTAAAAGAAAGGTAACAAACAGTCAAGGAATGGTTTTTCATTTGCAAAGGTTCTTTTACTTTTTTCTTATCTTTACAATGTCTTTTTATTTTATTTTATTTTAATTCATCTAATTATGTTTAATTTTTATCTTGACTCATATTTCCGTTAATTTTTAAAATAATGGTGTTAATTTTCTTGTCTTAATCTCATCTCTTTATTCTATTTTTTTCTTTATAATCTTTTTTTTTTACCAAATTTAAATAAATGAATTTTGAAGCTTACCTATATTAACTTTAGCCATGGCAAATGCAACATAGCAAGAATGAATAAAAAAAGGTGGTGGCACAAGAAGAAGAAAATGAAGAAGCTGAAAACAGTCATTATTATGATGATCATAAGGAATAAACAATGATTAACGCATTAAACCGACAAAGCATTTTGATGAGAAGAAAAAAATTAAAAGGGAATTCTTTAAAAGAATTTTTGTTGATCCTTGTTTTTTTTTTTTTAACAGTATTGGTTTTTTTTTTTCTCTAAATCCTCCCTGTCTAAGACTTTGTTTAGCATAGTTTATGTAAAATAATTTTTTTATTTTTAATCATTATTTAAATTTTATTTTTAATAAATAACTTATGAAAAATAGGAGTAAATTAGAAGTATGCCTTACAAAAAAAAAGGTCTCCAAGTAAGTTTTTTGAAAAAAAAAAACATAGTTTAGATATTATAAAATTTAACTTTGATTAAGCATAATTTGACTCAATTTTATGATAAAATTTTGATTTAATTCAAAATTTATTTCCCACAACCTTTTCTTCTTCTTCTTGTGCCACCACCTTTTTAATTCATTCTTGCTATGCTGTATTTTCCACGACTAAAGTTAATCCAATACAAGAAAATGACAATAATATTAATTGAAACTTCACTACTTCTTCTTCTTCTTTTATGTCATGGATAAAGAAAATACTGGAAGATTAAAGCCACCAAATTTGTCAAACTGATATGATCAAAAATGATATCCGTAAATGAAATACAACAAACTATCAAATATCAAGCATTCCATGATGCATTCACCTGTGGCTTTTCCAGCTTAGCTCACACTCTTTAGCCACAAGAGACAACGCATTAGAAGAGGAGCCACCTTCACTTAAAGTCCTTTCTGCACTGCATTTAAGTTCCTTCACCCTCTTCCTTATTTTGGTCCCTTCTTTATCTCCCATAATTGTTCTAATCGTCATCTCTATCTCTTCCCTTCCTACCACTCCCTCTGATGCCAAAATGTTCGATCGCATGGCTACACCAAGCTCCTCAGTTAGCAAAGCAGCATTCATTCGTCGCTCAACGTATAATGGCCATGCAATCATAGGTACTCCATTGCTGATGCTCTCTAACATCGAATTCCATCCACAATGTGATAAAAATCCGCCTATTGATGGATGGTTCAAGATGTCCACTTGAGGAGCCCAATCTTGAATCACCAAACCCACATCTTGGATTCGATCTAAGAAACCTTCAGGAAAATAGCTTGCCATGCTATTAACCTCACCACTCTCTACAGTGAAAAAGGACCCATCTCTTGTTTTTCTTGTAGGTGGCCGTACCACCCAAATAAATCTTTGACGACTTAACTCAAGGCCCCAAGCTAGCTCGACCATTTGCTCAATGGAAAGAGTTCCACCATTTCCAAATGATACATAGATGACAGATTCATTGGGTTGGTTGTCCAACCAGAGAAATAACTCACCACTTCTTTGATCAAGTGGTTTGGTTGGCCTCATTAATGGTCCAACCGGGTAAAGCGGAACCCTAAAAAGCTGACCCAAGAGCTCTTCATCTCTCAATGCTTCCAATGTTTTATGTTGCAGATCTTCCCATGTGTTCAGTAAAATCCCGTTACATTTTGGGATATCCATCCCCATGCGAACGTACTCCAAATACTGTTGATTGCTGCGGTCTAACATAGGGTCAACCACATCTTCGACTCGAACTGCTTTGCACCCAGGAATTTCCAATGGCTCCTTTTGATCAACATATTCTTCTTCCACAACCTTATCTAGTACAGGCATGTATATGGTTAGTGCTAGAAACCATGCATTTGAAGAAAAATATACGTACTTGAGCATTTCAAACTCATCAGCAACCATCATAGCTTAACTTCCAAATAAGTCAACAATTAAGGCCGTAGGACGAAATGATAAAGCAGATATAGTAGACCGAAGAGCTGGCTTGATTTCACGCATGATAACACAAATCTGTGTAACAACTGCAGCATCAGGACTGACAAGTCCAGAGATATCGGGCTGTGGAAGTTCAATGATTTCACAGAGTTTTGGAGTCATGGCTGATTGGATAATTTGGGATTCTGCTGCTGAAGAATGAGAAGCAACAAAAAATATGGTTATGTCAAAGTTGTGGTGTGTGACTAAGCGTTTGTCGAGTTCAAGGATCGGGATTAGGTGGCCCATTCCAAGGCTGGCTAACAATACTAGATGGGGTTTTGAGTCTGTTGTGTTCGCCATGGCTAAATGGAAACAGCTAGCTAGCTAGGGTAGAGTGGAGATGAGAAGAAGGAGAAATGTTGCAACAATGTCAATTAGTGGTGATGCAATTTATATAGGGAGTGCGCGTGTTGGAAGTCAAACCCGTTGCAACGAAGCAACAAATCACAGCCACAAAATATACAAGGGAGATGGTCAAAAATGGCTCCCAATAAAAGAAATCCTTAAGCTGTACATGGGTTGGAATATGGCAGCTGGACGTGAGATTTGCATGGGCTGGAATTGAAAGCAAAATTGGAGAAGAATTGTGGCTGCTGACTTAAATTAGGCGGTGAAACAATTATATATATATATATATATATAGGTCCATATGCTCCTATGAATGTATTAAAAAAAGAGAGAGATTATAAGAGAAAAGAGAGAGTAGAAACTTAGATAACAGTAGCTATCAAGAGAAAAAAATTGAGAGTATTGTAACACTCATCTATTGAGAGAATATTTTTGAGAGAGAAGAGATTTCTTTTGTACTCACTATATGATCAATAAATATTTCCATTTGAGTTAAAGCCTAGCACGCTTCCAACAACCGGTATCGAGCTCGATTCGTGTCTTCCTTTCAAGCAAGATGATGGCACAAATGATTCAACCTCAAATACCAAAATTGACAAATTCAAATTATGGAAACTCGGAGCATCCAAATGAAGGTTCTGCTCGATTCACACGATCTATGGGAGATTGTTGAAGAAGGATATACATAGCCCGAAGATGCTAGTGCCGAAGCATCTTTAACAAACGCACGAAGACAACGACTTAAAGAATCACGCAAAAAGGATAAGAAGGCCTTGTTTTTCATTTTTCAAGGAGTTGATGAATCAACGTTTGAGAAAGTATCGGATGCCAAGACATCAAAGGAGGCATGGGAGATTCTGCAGAAATCTCTTCAAGGAGTCGAAAAGGCTAAAAAGGTACGACTCCAATCACTCGAAGCTAAATTTGAGATCTTAAAAATGCGAAATTCGAAAAGATCAATGATTACGTCACTCATTTGAAAACGGTGGCAAACGATATGAAAAGAAATGGAGAAACTCTTGATGATGTCGAGTGATGGAAAAACTCTTACGTTCGTTGACAAGAAAATTTGATTATATTGTTACTCGCTATTAAAAAATCAAAAGATTTATCACAAATCTCGATTGATGAGTTTGTGGGTTCTCTTCAAGCTCATGAGTAGAGAATGAACCGGAATGAAAGTATTAGTAATCCGGAGCAAGCTTTGCAAAGCAAGTTATATATTGGTGACAATCAAGCCAGCAGCGAGTTGTGGACGAGGTCGGGGAAATCGAGGTAGCTACGAGAGGTGGCTACAAAGATGGCTACAGAGGTAACGATAGAGGTGGTTACAAAGGTGTACGTGGTGGATGAGGACGTAGCACAAACTCCTTCGAAAGAAGCCAAGGAAATGAAGGCTATCAAATATATGGTCGTGGTCGAGGATCTAGGAGTCAAGGAAGAGGCGATTTCAACAACGAGGTGATAAATCATAATTGCAATGTTATAATTGTAACAAGTATGGCCATCTCGATTACGAATGCGGATTAGCACCAAGGATAGAGGAAACAAATCATTTTACAGCGACGAGAAGACAAAGAAGCTAAATCATCCATTTTCTTAACATATAGAGGAAATGGAGAGTGCAAGAAAAATATTTGGTATCTCGACACCGGTGCCAGTAACCATATGTGTGGTTGTAAGGAGTTGTTTACTGATTTGGATGATACTATCCAAGAAGAAGTTACTTTTGGTGACTCATCAAAAATTTCGATTAAAGGCAAAGGTAAGCTTATGATTACCTTAAAAAATGGAGAAAAAAGGTATATACATGATGTTTATTATGTACCTTCTTTGAAAAGCAATATCATCGACCTTGGCCGACTCTAGAAAAGGGGTATGATATACACCGAAGGATCGATCTCTCGTCATCAACGAAGTGGAGAGTTAATTGCTAAAGTTGATATGACAAAGAATCATCTTTTCACACTTGATATTCATACGAAGTGATAAAGTGCATGAAGTCCGTCATTAAAGACGAATCATGGTTATGGCATCTAAGGTTTGGTCATCTTGGATTTACCGACTTAAAGTTATTATCGAGAGCAAAGATGGTGAGTGGACTTCCGTAAATTAATCGACCGGATCAATTATGTGAAGCTTGCATTAAAGGAAAACAACATAGACAAAGTTTTGAAGTTGGAAAGTCATAGAGAGCTAGAAGGCCTTTGGAAATTGTTCACACGGATATAGCTGGTCCATTTGATATACAATCACTTGGTGGAAACGAGTATTATCTTACTTTTATCGATGATTTTAGTAGAAAAAGTTGGGTGTATATTCTTAAAGATAAATCGAAGCTCTTGATAAATTTAAGGAGTTCAAAGCAATGGCAGAAAAACAAAGTGGGCGATATTTGAAGATACTTAGATTCGATAGAGGAGGTGAGTACACCTCAAAGTTGTTTAAAGGTTTTTGCAAAGAAAATGGAATCATTCATCGACTAATGACCTCATATACACCACAACAAAATGGTGTTGCGGAAAGAAAGAATCGCACAATTCTTGATATGGCAAGGAGCATGGTGAAAGGAAAGCACTTACCGAGAAATTTTTGAGGCTGAAGCCGTTCTATGTGCTTGTTTATTTATTTAATCGATGTCCAACAAAAAGTGTAAAATTCAAAACGCCTAACGAAGCATGGAGCGGTAGCAAGCTCGCAATTGGACATCTCGGGATTTTTAGATGCATCGCATATGCCCATGTTCCCGACCAAAAAAGAAAGAAGTTAGATGATAAAGGAGAAAAATATATCTTTATTGGCTATGAGAAACGGAGTAGGGCATATGGATTGTACAATCCTTTGACCAAGAAGGTGATCATTTCACGAGATGTTGAGTTCGATGAAGCAGATCACTGGAGATGGAGCAAAGAAGATAAAGAAGTTAAAGGACTATTTTTTAATGATGATAATGATGATGATTTCAACATACAAAATGAGCAAGGTGATGACCAAACTCCTCCACAAAGTCCAACTTCAACAACACCCGAATCGACACCATCAACATCGTCGGGAAGCGACGAATAGTAGCAACAATTCGGAGGGAGCACTCGAAAACCTACGAGTCTAAATGATATTTATGATTCCACGTAACTCGTGCGAACAACATTCGATTACTCCTTATTCTGTTTAACGACGGAGTGTGATCCAATAATGTACGAAGAGGTCGCTAAAGAGGAGAAGTGGAAGAAGGTCATGAATGAAGAAATTGCTGCAATCAAAAGAAATGACACATGGGAATTAACGAGTCTTCCAAAAGGACACAAGACAATAGGAGTCAAGTAGGTGTATAAGACAAAGACTAATCCAGAAGAAAAAGTGGAAAAATATAAGGCAAGATTAGTTGCTAAAGGCTATAAACGGATACAAGGAATAGACTATGAGGAGGTGTTTGCTCCGAGTTGCAAGAATTGATATTATTAGACTTCTCACAAGCGATCGCAGACATAAAATAAATGGAAGATTTATCGGATGGATGTGAAATCTGCATTCTTGAATGGGTTCCTAGAAAAAGAAGTTTATATCGAGCAACCACCGGGATATGTTAAAAAGGGACAGGAAGACAAAGTCTACCGACCGAAGAAAGCCTTATATGGATTAAAGCAAGCTCCACGAGCATGGAACACAAGAATAGATGAGTATTTCTAGAAGAATGGTTTTGCAAAAAGTCCATATGAGCATGCCTTGTACACGAAGAAAAATCAAGATGGTGATATTATGACTGTATGCCTATATGTAGATGATATGATCTTCACGGGAAATAATCGATGTATGTTCAATGATATTAAGAAAGTTATGACTAAAGAATTTGAAATGACGGATATTGGTGAAATGTCATACTTTCTTGAAATCGAGGTAAAACAAATGGAAGATGGAATATTTATGTCACAAAAGAAGTATGCGAGAACAAATTCGGAATGAAGGATTGCAAGCTAGTAGCTACACCAGCAGAAGCAAGTATGAAGTTGAGGATAGATTTGAATAGAGAGTCTATAAACCCGACACTCGTTCAAGAGTCCGGTTGGAAGTTTGAGGCACTTGACTTTTACACGCCCGGATATTATATACGCAGTTGGACTAGTCCGTAGATATATGGAGAAGCCAAAGCGGGATCACTTCATTGCAGCAAAGAGAATTTTGAGATATGTCAAATGAACAACGGATCATGGTTTATTTTATACATTTTCTCAAGATTCAAAGTTGGTTGGTTACTCGGACGGCGATTATGGTAGAGACTTGGATGATCGAAAAAGTACTTTCGGATATGCATTTCATATTGGATCGGTAATATTTTCATGGTCATCAAAGAAGCAACAAACAATTGCTCTCTCAACATGTGAAGCAGAGTATATAGCCGCGACGAAGCATGTACATGTCAAGCAATATGGTTAAAGAATACTTTGAACGAGTTATATCATGAACAAGAAGGTCCAACTACAATATACATTGATAATAAATCTACTATATCACTTGTGAAGAATCCAAGTGTCATATAGCCGAAGCAAACATATAGACACAAAATATCATTTTATTTGAGAGCAAGTGAAGAACAAAGTGGTGAAACTAATTCATTGCAGTAACGGAAGATCAACTTGCAGATATTTTTACAAAGCCTTTGAAGACCGAAATATTCCACGGACGCAAAGGAAAGCTTGGCATGCAAAGTCGGGTTTGAGGGGGAGTGTTGGAAGTCAAACTCGTTGCAATGAAGCAACAAATCACAGCCATAAAATGTACAAGGGAGGTGGTCAAAAATGGCCGCCAATAAAAGAAATCCGTGAGTCTGTACATGGGTTGGAATATGGCAACTAGACGTAAGCTTTGCATGGGCTGGAATTGAAAGCAAAATTGGAGAAGAATTGTGGTCGCCGACTTAAATTAGGCGGTGAAGCAATTATATATATATATATATC